AAATTTAATTCTGCAGAGAACCTACATGAAAGAAGATGAGTTTTTAGAAAGTTATTTTAAGGCACCTAGAGCCAAAGTTTGGTTGATCAAGTATTTGCTGAATACCTTCTTTAAGGAGCTGTAGGATTTGACTGGTGTGTTCAAGGAGTTTATAGGTTATCTTGGCCTAGAAAAGCAACATCATAAATCCGAGAACAAGGATTATTGTTCATGATATTGGGTTGAAAGGAATTCATAGAAAGAGTGTGAAATGGAGCCTCTAGAGAAGGCTGTCTGGAGGAAGTGGGACTCAAGGCATTTTCTTAACAGAAATTTATGGAACAAATCTTATATGCTGTGTGTTGTGCTAGAATCGTAACAATGAGCTAGACTGTGAGCCTGTGTGTGTGCAGCCTGGTGAGAGGTCCAGACACAAAACCAGGCAACCACCTCAATGGTCTGTTGGGTGAATTTCGGAGCATTAAGGGAACACCTGGATTAGAAGGGCGTGAAGATTTCGTGGAGGATATATGAGGCTGAAATTTGAACAGAAAGAAATACCAAATGGACATTGCTATTTACCTACTTAAAAGCGTGCTCTTTTTTTTTAAGCTCAGAAAAATGCACTCTACTCTTCTGAAAGCAGTCTCCTAAAATATAAGTATGTAAGCTTTTCTTAGAAATGAAAATATTTAGACTTTAGAATTTTGTAGGAAAAAGAAGCCTTCGAGAAATCAGACCTGCTTTACTACCAACTCTTTTGTAACTCTGGAAAGGGAAAGAAATATAAGATTTACCAAAAATGCCAGTGGGTTGGGGATTGGAAACGTCCCATGGTTCAGAATGTGTGTCTGGGGAGGATGACACCACTGTGTTCTCTGTCATTTCTCTTTTGAGGAAAGGGCTTGTTATGCTCCTAGTGTGTGCTTCTATCCGATCTGAAGCCTTTGTATTTCTGTATGCTTTCACAGAGACCAAACAGGGAAAGAGAAAAAGTGGTTGTGGCGGGCTGTGAAGAACTAGCACTGAAATTATGGCTGCCACCTATTCACCCTGACCTAATTAATCTGTCTACCGAAGGACAGAAAAATTACCGTTTTTAAATGGCCCACATTCATTTGGAAAGCTTCGATATGCACCCATGGATATATTCTTTCTCAGTTGGATGTTTCCCCATTAGATCCTGCTGATTGCTTTAATTTGATACGTTAGCAGAAATATTACTTTCCTCTCGTTTGTGTAGCTTTCTTTGATAAGCCACATCCCATCCATTATTCCTGAAGAGCTTGTTACGATGAAGAAAGAATTAGAAGCAAACAGTAAGAGGTCTTCTAAACTGATACACTTTTCCTCACCCTCGTTAAGAATGACAGATATTATTTATGGTATTGATGTGTTGTTGTTTTTTTCTGAATCAGATTTGGTAACATGGCCCATAATTCAATGTTAAATCTCAGTTTTCAAAACATGATAAAAGGAACAAATAGACCACCAACAAAAGAACTAGAAATATGTTGTTGTTTTTTTTAAAAAAGGTAGAATTATCTAAGTGTCTAAACACATGAACTATTCTAAAGGTTTTGAAGATTTTATTTTATGGGGATGCTATTTTCATTAAGTTAGTTTTTTGTACTTCTTTATTCCCATAACAGGTGTTCTATGACAGCATTCTCCTAGTGTAATTTTGAACTGTAATTGTTACTTTCCTTGTCCATTCTCCACCACTAGACTGCATGCTTCTTGTTCTAGGTTTATGTCTGGCATATCGTTGGTACTTGATTAAAGTTAGCGTGAACGTACAGTAGTAAATTAATGTGGCTTCCATGGGGGAGAGAAATGTATTTTGGCTTCCATCTGACCCTGGGCGTTGTATCAGCTGTTTCAGTTTAAAAAGTGTCAACTGAGTTTGGGGCACTGCTAGGAACAATGAAAACCGTAGTCCCGTACACTCGTGAAATGTAAGCACAGACAAATAATGACTCTTACAAGGAGGCCTGGTATTACAGAAATGTAACTTTAGCATAAAATTAGGTTGATATGCTTACAGTTCTGTTTACATGATCTAAAAATGTTGACATTTACGTGCATAGTTTACATATAAATAAAAGCAATGGTTTGCTTTGATACGTTGTTACATTTAAGTCCAAGCTTTCTCTTCTCTTCTATAATTATTCAGATTTGTACGTGTCCGCCGTTCCACCCAGTACCTCCAACGGGATGTTTAACGGACACTTCACAGTTAATGTCCCAAATCTGAATACACGCTCAGCCTCTCCACAGCTAAGCTTGTCCATTGTCTGGTAGCCTTCCCTGTTGGAGTTCAGGGCAACCCCATCCTCGTCATGGCTCAGGCCAAACCCCTGAGCCGTCACGTTCTTCTCCTTTCTCTCCTACCTCCACATCTGGGTAGTGTGACCCCTTTTCACTCTCTCCACTCCTCACACCTTGGCCTGAGCCATGCTCACCTCTTGCCTGAAGTAGCGGCTGCCTCCCCATCCTGCTCTTTCGCAGTCTGAACACACCGTGATCCCGTTAAATCTAAGTCATGTGTGGCTGTCTTCTGCTCAGGAGCCTCCAGGGGTTTCCCGTTTCACTCCGAGTAAAGCAGAGCCCCTCCGGTGGCTGACAACCCTACACCCCTGCCTGCCTGCCCGCCTTTCTGATCTCGCCTCCCTCAGTGACTGCCGCCCTCTTGCCGGGTTCCAGCACTGGCTCTTGTGAGCGTGCCAAGCCTGACCTCTGCACCCGGCTTGCGTATATTCTGTTCTCTCTGCCAGGAACACTTTCATCCAGATGGCCATGGGGCCTGCTCCCGAGCCTCTTTTCATATTCTGTCCAAATGCCACCTTTGCAGCGAGCCCTTCTGTGACCACCCTGTTTCGTGCTGCAGCACCCATCCCTGCGTCCTTACTTTCTCTTTCTCCATTACACTCACCACCTTTTCACATTGCATGAGTTTACTTATGCCTATTTTATTGTCATCTCCTCACACTCGCTCCATGAGGCCAAGGATTTTTGTCTCTCTCTTCTTTCTTTACTGATGTTTCTGTAGCACCTAGAATAGAGCCTGGCACATAATAAGCACTGAATGCAAATTTGTTGAAAGAATGGAGGTGGGAGTTGTTTATGAGACATGTCAGTGTCCTGAGTACACCTTAATGAAATGAGTCAAAATACATGTTTATCTCAGCTGTGTTCTTTATTCATTCGATACCTGTCATTTCTTGAGAGTAGTGATGCCTTGATTGAGGCAGATATGCATTCAGTGACTCCCGCCTGAATCAAAGGGAAGCGAGCATCTTACGCAAACCATGTTTGGAGAGACGAACTTGGATGCTCTGTGAAGGGGCATTACCTTGTCAGAAAGGGAGCCACTGAGCTTGTGAGTGGTGTGTGGTCACCCACCCGGGTGCCTGCGAGAGACTGAATATACCACTGTGATCTTCATTTATTTCCACACCTGTGAGAACAGCGGAGACTGGACTAGAGGAGCAGTGTTTTTGAACCCTATGGTGAGATTTTTTTTTTCGCCCATAAAAAGCTAAATAGTGATCAGGAAGACTTAAGGCATTATTGAGATTGCCCAATCCTCCAAGTACTAGAGCACTGATTTTTAAAAAAACTGTATTATTGTTACTGAAAAAGGAGCACTTTTAAAAAAAGAAATCTTATCATAGAGCCCGTTGACAAACAGGCAGAAGTGCAGCTTATCTGCATCCAAAGTCCTGGAAGATGGTTCTTGTCACTACTGGGATGAATGGGTGACTGTGCTCTCTTGGTTGGGTCTGGGTTCTGTGGGATCTGATGCTGGTACAGTACGGTGGAGGGGGGGGGGCTTTATGAAAATAGAAAATGAAACTAAGAGTACACATTTAGGCACAGGGCCTTGGAAGGACCCTGACGCTTACACCTGTCACCTGGGTAGCAAATCCTCCTCTGATTTTAGTGATGGTGGTGATGATGGATGTGAGCATTAACACACCGGGTTCAGCGGCCCCCCCTATTATCCAAGGTTTCGCTTTGTGCGATTTCAGTTCCGTGTGGTCAACTGCACCCCAAAAATATTAAATGGACAATTCCAGAAATAATTCATAAGTTTTAAATTGTGTGCCCTTCTGAGTAGCATGATGAAACCCTGCACTGCTCTGCTTTATCCCGCCCAGGATGCGAGTCATCCCTTTGTCCTTGATCGCCAAGCTGTTAGTCACTTATTATAGTAGCGTCTCAGTTATCAGATGCCTGTCCTGGTATTGCAGTGCCTGTGCTCACGTCATCCTTATTTTACTTCATAATGTCCCCAAAGTGCAAGAGTAGAGATGCTGGCAATTTGGATGTGCCAAAGAGAAGCTATCTAGTTCTTCCTTTAAGGGAAAAGGTGAGTACACATAGGAAATAACATGGTATACGTAGGGTTGGGCAATATCCGTGGTTTCAGGTATCTCCTGGGCATCTTGGAATGTATCCCCCAGGATGAGGAGGGACTCCTGTACTTACATGCCTGGCACCCATTCGAAGCACCTTTCATACAGGAATCCTGAAAACAACCAAAGGTGAACTGTACCAGAGATACAGAGAAGCCATTCCCAGGGTGATGTGGCTGGGAAGTGGAGTTGCTAGGAGTGTGAGGAAGGGTAGAACAGTAAAGAACACTAAACTGAGAGCAGAGACCACCATCAACCCCAGCTTTGCTGCCCGTTAATCCGAAACCTGGAAAACATCACTTTACCTTTCGGATACTCCTTGACTGCACCTGTAAAACAGCAACAGTGATACCAGCTATGAGCGCCTCATTCTGCTGTTCTGAGGTCAGGAGACCCTGTGTGAAAGTGCTTTGTGAAGAGTACAACGCTTGGAAATGTGGTGTTAAACAGGCTTACATTCCAATTTAATGTTCTAGGCAAGGCTTGAAAATATATTTGATTTTGCTGATTTTTTATTTCACTTCTAAATGTCTCTGATTTCTTGGATGTGATTTTTATTTTATTTATTTATTTATTAAAATTTTTGTTTGTTTGTTTTAGGTTACTTGTCTGCAGGACTTTTTTGGTGATGACGATGTGTTTATTGCATGCGGACCTGAGAAATTCCGTTACGCCCAAGATGACTTTGTCCTGGACCACAGTGGTAAGGCAGTTCATTGGCCATCCCTGAAATTCTGTGGTGGAGGCTTGGGTTTGTCACTTGGTGTATGTAAGCGGCCTGGCATGTTGAAGGAAAATGGCATTGACAGGCCTCCTTTTTAATTGATGAAAGTATTTACCTAGTCATAAAAAAAAAAAAAACTAATACAGTAGTTAAGTAGTTTTCATTTTTTAGCCATTTGGTTCCCTGTCTTTTTACTGCATTGTTTGGCCTCTGAAACAAATTTCCTACCCTCTTTCAGAATAGAGGTTGGCTATGCCACCTTAATTATATGGATAGTATTGAACCCAAAGCAGTTAGTGGTACATTTTCCATGTTAATAAAGCGATACATAAGAGGATCTTAACTAAATTGTTAATAGTGAATGTCTCAGGTCTCTCTTTACCTCATTGTTCTGTTTGCAATTAAAAAAATAACATTCATTATTTATATAGGCAGGGTAAAAAGCTATTTTCATTGATAGGAGAAGAAAACCCCTTTTATTGATTTTAGCCAATGTGTGGAATTCTCAACTATTTAGCTATAACCTCAGTGATTTCAAATGTTATTGATTCTGGGAATATTGCTTTACTCTGTTGTCTTGAATTAATTTAAACCTATTATAGTAATAGTGATGATTTTAGTTGATAAAGTCAATTTCATCTTTAAATAAGGTAAAATCATACAGATATAACATTTCACAGAAGAGAGGGATGTTTGAAATGCAATCTCACTCTAATTTCATGAATAAGGACATTTGGTTTTTCAAAACTCTAGACTGATGGTAGAACACACTTCTGGTTGCAGTGATTCTAACAGCCCAGAATTAGAGAAACATTTGACCAGATGAATACCATGATCCATCTAGACTTTTGAAAAATTCAAGATGATACATCCTACGGTACCAAACTCCCTTTTGTAATTCTTTCCTGTTAAACTAAGTCAGTTCCCTTGGGGTAATTTATCTACTTTGTGTTTGGGGCTCATTTATTTATCTGCTCTTATTTTGTTTTGTTTTTCACTGTTGCCAAATGTCTTTGAATGTTTCTGTGCTGTCTTATAGTCTATTGGACTGGTCCTGCTTTACACTGGTAATGTCACTGGAAAGTCCCTAAAGAATTGCAGGCGATGGCCTTTTGTATTATCCATGTAATGTTCTCCCCTGTTTTCATGGATGGTTCAGGTTGACTGAAATACGCATTTACATCTTTCTGTATTTTACGTCTTTCTTGATTTTAGCATAATTTCTTTTCATAGTATTTCTTTGATGTCCATCTTGGTCATTTTGAGTGTTGAAATACTGAAACTCTCAACAGTGATATGTTTTAGGTTATAAAGTTAATTTGGATAACAACAGCAATAATGAAACATATATTGAGCACTCACTATGTATGTACCAGGCATTGTACTCCACATGTGTGTTGTAAATTTACCTAAGGTAGTTGGATCATTCGTAGTGTTTTGTTGCTGTTGGCTATGGATAGACTCCAGTTGAGGTAGGTGAAAGCTACTGAATTCTTCCTTCTCAATTGCTTATTACTTAACCTCCTGCAAACTGGGGATAATTATAGTGGCTGTTTCATAACATGTTGTGAGGATTAAATGAGTTAGTATATGTAAAGCAGTTAGAAGGGTACCCGTTACATAGTATATGCTATTGCTATTGTTGTTGTTAATATTATTCTTATACCACCACCATCAGGTCATAAAATTTTCCAATGAAAGCAAGTCTCAGACCTAATTCTGCCATAGGTACATTTATTAGGAGGCAAAGCCTTTTTTTTTTTATTCAGTTGTTTCGCTTGTATTATACACTTGATGAAGTCCCAACTCTCTGTCCTTGTAGATTTCTGACAACACCTTGCATTAAAGATCCATTGAAATCAGCTACCTAGTCTTAAATCAAGTAACAAAACCCCACACTAAGATTGCAGGAAGGACGGGCCCAGATTCCTCCACCTGGATGTAGTCTGGAAATGCCAGTGTGGGCTCTGTAGATTGACCAGTCCTGCTGGCAAAAGAGTGGCAGTGCCCACGGGATGTTTCTACCTAATCCACATACCGCTCCTTTCAACAACATCCTTTGTAGCATCCATAATGCTAATTAACTAAACTAAAGTTGCCACAGCCCCCTCTGTGTAAGGCTTTGATTACAGTCTTTCAAATGCTAACTGTCCCTCCCCTGGTGTGTGTATACATTAAAACCAACCCACTTTTTAATCTTCCTGTATAAATTGAAGTATTTTAGCATCAATTACAGGCAGTACGTTATCTAACTTAATTCTTATAAGAAGCCTATGAAGTAGATTTTGTTCTTATCCCAGTTTCATAGGGAAAACTGAGGCTCAGGGTCTAACCAACACCCCCCAGTTAGCAAAGTCAAATCCGTGACTCAGCCAAAACCTGCATGACTTTTAAACCCAGGTTCTTAATTATTCAAATTAGAAATGATTCTTTTAGCTGCCATTAGCTCTGATACTCTAAACGCTATTTTATTTGGTAATGTATGGGAAGATCTGAGTTATTATTTAAAGCTAGTTGCCTTTTCTTTGATGCTCCACACTTTGGAAAGATGGAAAGTAAGACAGTAAGGAGTTCGTAAATTAGAGTCCTACATACCTTTCAACATTTGATAAAGAGTTGAGAGTAATAAAAGTGTAGCCTTAGCCTATGATCGCTACTGACTAAAAAAAAAGTTGCACATGTTTAGATTAAGGTGTGTGTGTGTGTGTGTGTGTGTGTGTGTGTGTGTGTGTGTGTGTGTGAAGCATTGGGATTTCTCTATATGGAACAATGAGGTGATGTCACAAGATGTGTATGTCGCCTAATTAAAGGCGACCTCAGGTGTACTTTTGGGATGGTTGTTTTGTATATTAAAAGTGTTTCACAGTAATAGAAAAGTGATCAGATGATGGTCCTAGGCAGTAAACTACTTTCCCATGTGATCTTCCTTTAGTGAGTATTAAAACCAGATCTATTTAATGCACTTTCCTTCCTTTCTAGAATGCCGTGTCTTGAAGTCATCTTATTCTCGCTCCTCAGCTAAGTATTCTGGATCCAAAAGCCCTGGGCCCTCTCGACGCAGCAAATCGCCAGCTTCAGGTAGTTAATGGGAAAGGAATGGAAGGTCACATATCATTCTCTTTCTGTTTCCTTTAATTATTATGAACTGGTAGTCTTCCCATTGCTTGTATGCAGCCAGGTTCCAGAGCAACATATAGATGACATGAACTTTTAAACCAAGCATTGAAGTCTTTCTTAAAGTTATAATAAGTCGCCTAAGAAGTCAGTTTTTTTTGTCTGATACATTTTCTCGAGAACAATCGTATTATCTAGATTCTTCTCCTGATGTTTTCATGGAAGTGTTTCACAGTTTGACCACTGTGTACTGCATTTTAAATTTGGTGCTATATGGTGGTGGATATTTTCTTATTTGTTTAAAACATACGTATCCACGCCTAATGCAACAATGTATTTACCTGATAGGTTTACACAGGCCTTTCCTTCATCAAGCAATTTAATAGTAGGAATGATTATTGTTGGAAAGAAGCACTTTACAAGAGTCAGACTGACCTAGATCCTAGGTCATAATTTTGACTGTTTTTGGAATTTAAAAAACTTAAAACATCCATAAATATCTTGATATATTGATCCTATAAGGTTTGTTCATAGTCTAGTTATAAATCCTTTTGCTGATATCATTTCCCATTAAGGAAAAGATTGTGAAAAATCATCATTTTACATGTGGGAAATCTAGAAAATGTGAAAGTAGGAGAAACTGTCTCACGCATCAAACTTTGTATAAAAGACCTGAGTTTGGGGGCCGTTCTACTTTTCACTGCTTCCCCCTTTCAGCACCTGCCCTACTTTCTTTAGGTCGGGTTGTTTAACCCTTCTTTCTGTAGACACGTTTAGACCTGCTGAATAATCACTGTCCTTACTGTCTCCTCCTCTGTATAAACTGACTGTACAGTAAGGAGGGGAGGTCCCTACTCCAGTGCCTACTCTACAACCAAATCCCCAGGTGAGCCAAGGTTATTATGGCTTTGTCGCTCTGCTGGGTTTCTGTTTTTGTCTTTTGCCACATTTCTGTTTCCTTTGCTTCATTTCCATGAATGTTTCTGGCTGGTACCAGTGTACATCTGTGCAGTATGAAATGCTTCCGCCTCCCTTATGTCCTAGAGAGCCAGTCATTGTCAGAAGATTGACAGGTGCCTGTCTGGGTGTAGTCACGATACTGAGGGATCAAGGAGGCACATTGCCTCAAGGGGTTTATTTTCTAGTTAATCTTGGAAATAATTCTATTGTCGAAAATGGCTAAATGACCATAGAGGCAATTATACTCTTTTGTTCTCACCTTCCTCCCTATCCTGGGATTAATAGGCCCAATACTTTCTCTTTCTGAACATATCGCTGATATGAATATTTTTAACTGAAAGCATTTCTCTGCTGTTAAGCTTATTTCAAATCATATTATGCTTTCTGTAAAGTATCTCAAACACTGGGGAAGCTAATATAATATGAAATTTGCATAAATACACTGAACTGAGCTTACCATATGGAAGTTGGAGATTTTTGTCAGATTTGTAGCTTTTGTTTTGGTGATGGGTTCACAGATGCTTATCATATGGTAAAATAACTAGATAGATGTGGGGAGAGTGGTTCAAGAGTCAGGTATTAAGATGATTCCAAATTTGTCTCCTGGAGTTGTAAGAGGGAAACTAACACACTGAACTCAAAGCAGGTTTCGTAGCCGCATTTGTCTTCCAGACCAGCTGCTTCATCATGTAGTCTAATAAATGTATACATGTTTTTAACTTGAATTTGGAGAGCTTAGAAATTGATTCAAGAAAATCTTCGCATTCCAGTGCCCCACATTTTTAACTGAGTCCATATTTGGATTTGGGTTAATAGATCTTAAACTCATAAGTGAAACTTGTGAGATGTTTAAATCACTTTCCAGAGGGCAGACGGCTGCTTGTAAGAGATTAACTCAAAAACATGTTCAGCACACACTGCAGTTATGGAAGGCTGAGACCCGAGTCAACTGCTGGGACTTCACTGTGATTCTGGAGGAAGTTACCGTATTTATTCAGATTGTATTCTCTCCCACTACCAGAAAGGAAAGGGTTTTGATTATTAAAAGCCACAATACCCAGAAGTATAACTTGCTTTTACAGGCTGCTTTAGCTGCGGTCTACCTGTTACCATATTTAAAATTCCACGGGACTAATTGGAATTTCAAACAGCTAGTAACTTTGTAAAAATAATATTGTACGTTTTCAATCTTGGGACAGAAATGCTCCCGTAAGTGAAGTCTTCGGGTAGACTAAATCGCTCAGCAGAACTCTTAATTTATTGTAATAGCTAAATAGTGTATAATAAGCACACAGAGATTAATCTGGATAGCAGTGGGGAAATAGTTACCATAATTTGTCTTAACTCTCACTTTAGGTTTTCTAGCTTGTGACTCTTTCATAGTCCACTAAGATAAAAAGTATTCAGGGCAAACAAACAAGTGAACAAAACAGTCCCTGAGTTGATCTTACCGTACAGTTGAAGGGAGGGGTAGATGAAAGCCTTATTTGGGGAGAGAGGTTCAGGGGTGCAGTAAAGGAGTGGGAGCATTGTAAAGATGCTGGCTGGTCATTGCATGCCTTCCAGTTGGTGGCAGCAATGTGTGTCAGGGGAGAAGGCACACCCAGGCCCCACTTACCCTCCCAAAGACGCTGGAGAAATGTGCTAGTAAATGGTACCTAATGTACTAATTAAAGGCTACTCATTAGACAACGTTTTTTAGAACCTTCCAACTGCTATCAGAAATTTAGAGGGCTGCATGTGACTTAATATCTCTTTAGGATCAGAGGTATTTGGGGGAAAATATGGGCATAGTTACTGACACCAGTGAAATCCCTGGCGATGAGTTTTGTTAAACTATGTGTAGGCAGGGGGTGTGTTGTTAGGGAAATTGGTCAGCTACAGAGATTACCGTTTGCAGGAATTAATTTTTCTCCTTTAGTCTCTTTTCTCTCACCAGCCCAAGAAGCCTTTGATATCAGTGTGGTGTCTGAATATTAGTGGAAACGGACAACACTGACTGAGCAGTAACAGGTTGCTGTGTGAGGTGAACTGAAACAGGCCTCAGCTCCCAGCAAGTTGACGAGTTCATTGCCCATCTTAATCTCTATTTTATGTGGCTTTAAAGAGACTTTACCCTCAGTTTTTTTTAAAGAGAATTATTTTAAAGATATGACGTTAATTGAAATTTAACTTAATTGAGAAATAATCAGGGCTGTTGAATCCTCTGAAAAGTTTTGAAATAATTGGATAGTTACTGGGGTTGGACTTGTACTCTGAATACCCACACACCTTTCTTAAAATCTAAACTGCTGTTAATTGTTTTTGAATGAATGGTTTTGAATTAGAAAAATCAAAGTTTCATAATTTAAAAATAACTAGAAAAATATTTTCGTCTTTGCTGAATTTTTTAAATGAGCAATACAGTAAAAAAATATGACTTCATAGACCCAGATACCCCTGTTTGCAAATGACTCATCTAATCACAAATATTTGGCCCAGGACTTCTGCCTCCACTCAAAGAGTGGTGCTCACCTTTCTCAATCACCTAGTCAGGACCTTTATCTCTGTGTTTTGCTTTTTATACTTACTAGCATTATTTAAAAGAATAGTTGTCTGTTCTCTCCTATTTAAAAAAAAAAAAGGAAATGGACTTTGCTTTTCTTTCTACAGAGATGAATGGCAGTTCTTCATCTACTTTGGGCAAAAGCATTGAAGATTCATGATAAAAGGGGTTACAAATACTTCTTAGAAGAGAAAAAAAAAATTACACCAATACGAGGTGTTAACTGCCAGCTTTGTGAAATTAAAGCAGAAATTGATCCAGGTGATACCATTAGGAATAAACATGAGTCACACTGAAATGTTTGAACAGCATTCTGCAGTACAGAGTCTGCAGGCTGCCTGCCCCCTCAAAACAGCAGTGGCCATACTCCTCCTAGCAGAGGCTGTAAAATCGGATCTTCAACCTAAGAAGTGTATGGGAGTTTGGAGGAGGGTATATTAAAAAAAAAAAAAACCATCAAGATTGCTAAATAGTGGGGAAATTAGCTGTGAGGAAAATGGGAGAAATTAGAAATAACTAGTCTAGGTAAAAAAAAAAAAGAGTTGAAGAGGGTCTTTTATGACCGTCAAACAAATAAGTAGACATTGCAAGGAAAATGACCATTAATTTCCCCATTCTATTAAGAATGTCCTTGAAAAATTTACTTGGATGATGGTGGAATTGATTTGGGAGAGCCGTAGAATGTCTTGCTTATTCAGGTCAGTATATACCAAGATAGTGGATATTGGAGATCATGGGACAATCTTTGTAGTAAACCATTACAAATATAATAGCCAATTCATTTTTCTATCCTTGCTGGCAGGCAGGCTATATGGACAAGTTCTTGTTCACATTCCTAGTTCTATAATGTTTTCTATCTTTGTTTATGTCACTGTTGGAAAGCTATTATTGAAAATAATCCTAGTTTCACCCCTTATTTGTCCAATACTTTGTCTAAAATCTAATACGATATGTTATTTTTCCTTTTTGCTGATTTGCCATCTGCTTTGAGCTTTAAATGAGTCGAAGCTTCATTGGAGCGATGTGGTGCATGTGCTGAGTGTTTTGACACAACCTGGTGGTTTTGAGTTTTAATGACCTCTGTCTCCTTTGTTGTCTCATGGTCAGTTAATGGAACTCCCAGCAGCCAGCTTTCTACTCCTAAATCTACGAAATCCTCCAGTTCCTCTCCAACTAGCCCAGGAAGTTTCAGAGGATTAAAGGTATGAAATAGCACATGTGGCATGTTTGTGTGATTTTATTTTGAGTTGTATAGTTTAGTAGTTTAATTTGTTCAGGGGCTTGGGTATAGTAACAAATCAAAAGGGGAAGACCTGATTTTGAATCCTGTATCATGTCATTTTGGCCAACTCAATTAACTCTTCTGAGCTGAAGTGTTCCCATCTCTAAACTGGGAATATAAGGTTGTGGTTTGGATTGAATATAATGTAGTAAATTACTATCAGTAGTAGTTTTCCTGTTATTAGTAAAATGATTTGCAATGACAAAGCCTTGGCGAACTCTGATTCTTCTTAAAAACCTCATTTTGAATTATGGCTTTAATATTGCGAACAGGATTTCACTTTGTGAAAGTGTAAAATAGAGTGAAATACTAGTATAATATTTACACACACACAAGAACAATATGTTAATTTTGGTGAATAACCTAGAAATAAGTCTTATTTCGAATGATGAGCAAAACCAAATTTGCAAAATTTCAAGACACTTAATTTGAATTAGCTCTCAATAATTTTAATTTACAAGAGAAAACGTGCCTGGTAAAATAGCAGTAAATATTTGGGGCTAAAGATTGACAGTTTTCTTCTGTAGAAACAATCAGATTATCTTTAGGTAATGTACTCTAAGAATACTGAAAAATAAACAATACCATCCATGTATGTACGTGTACATTAACTTCCATTCTCTTGGCGTGTTTGGTTGACAATGGAAATACCTTCATTAGGAATACATTCTCCAAAATTGGTGGCCTAAACATTTCACATATCATCTGAGTGGTCTTTACCTACAGGATGTTGAAAAGTATTTTTAATCCGCAACATGAATAGTAGGAGCCCCGGCACCTTTGAGTGAATGAGGAACAAGAACCTGGCGAGCCTGGCGTCCTGACCCCTTCAGAGCCTTGGGGTCCGTGCCTACCCCCGTGTCCCCCTCTGCTTATTAAAAGGTTCCATGCTTGTGTACATTGGCAGGATTTGGACCGATGCTCGTAGTCAGTGTGTGATTTGGAGTACAAAACTCTCACCTACCTCTGCGTGTGGGAAGCTCCTTATATTTATAAGAACCAGGCATTTTCTGAAGTGCTGAATTGGCTTAGGTCCATTTATAATGTGATTTTAATAGAATTCTTAATTGTCCATTCCAAAAAATGTTATATAAATTAAAATTCACTAATAAGCTAAGTGTTTCCAGCTTTCCTTTCCCAACATATTTTCCCCGGAATAGATGGGAGGTGCACTGTTTTTAATTCGAGTAACTTTTCAAGAGAACTAAAGTAAAATAATGCAAGCTGATTCACTTCTTTTCTAGTTAAAGTGATTTCATCATTTGTTAAAGCGAAAGGAAGTGGCTCTTCGTTGCTGGTACTTGTTAACCTAGGGCAAACCCATCAGGAGGTTTTCAGGGAGCCCCTGCAAAGGTCATGTGGATTTCTCTTCCCAGCCACTGCTCCAGGCAGTGCTGGGATCCTTGGCCTAGGGCTGCACATGGCTGAAGGGCAGGTACTTTCGTCCCCGCTTACCTCGGATCTTGGTCATTTTCCTCTTTCTTTGCTATCCACCAGTAACCTGGGCTGCCATATTTCTTCCTACTCCATGTTCAATTCTAAACCCAAAGTTGTCCTTTTTCGTTGTCGCCACTGGGCCAGCAGGTGCTGCTTAATGCTCAGTGTGCACACCACTCCCTCACACACGTGTGCCAGCTCGCACAGGATCACTCCCATTTCTGGAGTGAAGATTCGTGAAATTTTAAAAGTGTGATCATTTGTGTTGTTGCTGAGACACTAGATTAATTGTTCTCATCATGCTAGGTGTGCCTTAATTATTACAGTAACCCCAGCATTTGGCACACAGAGTGCTGTGGCCCCTACAATGCCAAAGGATTACTTATTGATGCTGGAAGAGATAAAGGGAAAGGTTGACTGCTGGGGTAAAATGAGATTATCAGTGAGAGTGAAAGCAGTGATCTCTCCAGGACCCTTCACCCCCATTCCTCAGCGTACCTGAGGCCTGGGGGCTTTACTAACAGCCATGAGACCTCTTCTGGGGTTTCTTTTTCTCATCTGTAATGTAAGGATGCTTGATTTTGAATTACTTCTCAAAATGCTAGGATTATAGTTCTTTTAAGATGCCAAAAAACCTACCTAGGAGGCTGGGGAGTCTATTTCTCTTCTTCTCACTTTAAAGCTAATATATTGGGTTGTTGGAAAAGTCATGACGTATTTTTTCTGTTTTTCGTTGCAAAAATGCGTCATGACTTTTCTGACAACCCAATAGAGTCCCTAAGTTTTATATTCAATATGAGCAGCTGAAGGAGCCCTTGCCGCACTGATAAGCTTTTAGGACACAATGTGAGACATCCCTCCCCCTGCCTATTCTCACGGGTGGTGCCGTGTGGAAATTGAACCTCGTTCCCGTTCCCAACAACCTGTGCTATATATTGTTGTTGGGATGAAAACCTGCCTTTGAACTACTGCACCTTAGTCATGTTACTGACTTTACAAAATGCCCAAATTTTGATGTCCTTGTGAAGCCCTAGCCATCATCTGCCCACATTTGTGCTTTTTTCTCTTCACTGACATTGCACATGGAGAATTACAGATAATTGCCATGTGGTAATGCTATGCTTTTTCCATCCCCTTCATTGCAAATAGCTTATTAAGATCAATTAAGAGGGAAAATGCCTGACAATGGACGACTGTTTTTCATGGGCAGGAGCTTTTGACCACTGTTTCTACTAGTTAGAAGCTTAAGGGCTTTGGAGATAGATAATTTTTTTCCAGAGAATCAGAGAACTGACAAACGCCAGCAAGCCAAGCCAGGACAGCATATGTGGGAGTTGACACATGTCTCTCTAGCTGCCAGGACACAGCTTTGAGCAGATTTTTTATTTCTTTACTATTTGGGTTTTACTTAATAGGAAATGAAGCCAAGTTAAGTCAAAGAAAGGTAAGCAGAATACGATCTTCTGTCATAATCCCCCTCCCCACACCTTGTGCCGATTTCTGGGAATCACTTTGGTGTTTTGGCGGGAACACTGAAAGAGCTCAAAAGGAAAATAGAGTGATGTTGTGATGTTGAATCTCTGACCACAGAGTGTCAGTGGCATTTTTGTTTGCTCATTGAAAAAGATATGAGGCATACAAAAGCAGCCCTCCTCTCACAGAAAGTACTCACAGGTTCCTCAATAATGCCCTTATGAGGATGATAGCTCAGCTCCAGTCATATTCATTCATAAAAGATCGTGCTCTCTGAGGGGCTGGACCCAAAGCCAGTGGAGGATGCAGAGCATTCTTCAAATTATGAATAATTTTTGCAGGATGGGAGTGTAAGAAATACGGTGGTGACCAAGTAATTAAGGTTCTTTAAACTTAAACCTGAAAGACTTGAAGACAACTTGAGAGTGAGTTGTACTTCAGTTATTTTTTTTTATAAACCCTGTTCTGCATCTTGCCCTGTTTTTTTTTTATTAGTTTCATGTGTACAGAACAATGCAGTAGTTATCCTTTTCACCCTTCACACAGAAACAACCCTCCTCCCCCATCTACTGCCCTCCCACCCCCGATATCATACTTATCTATTACAATTCCATTGACTCTATTCCCACACTCTACTCCACATCCTGTGACTATATGTATATATAATTGTAGTTGACATACAATATTATTCAACATCAGCTTCAGAAATACAGTGTGGTGGTCAGGCCTCTACACCAACTATGAAGTGGTCTCCCTAACAAGACATGAGTCCAACTGACACCCTAAAAAATATTTACAACATTATTGATTATATTCCCCAGACTGTCTTTTCTATTCCTGAGGCCACATTGTAGTTACCGATCTGTATTGTCTTGTCCCTTCCCCTTCTCCTTCATCCCCACCCCCTCCCAACTAGCAACCCTCAGTTTTTCCTCTGTGTCTCTGAGACTATTTCTGTTTACATTTCTCATTTATTCAGGTTTTTCGATTCCACGTATAAGTGAGATCATATGGTATTTGTCTTTTTCTGACTGACTTATTTCACTCAGCATAATGTTCTCTAGTTCCATCCATATCATTGCAAATGGTACGATTTCCTTCTTTATAGCTGAGTAATACTCCATCGTGTAAATGTACCACAGTTTCTTAATCCAGTCGTCTACCGATGGGCATTTTGGTTGTTTCCAAGTCTTGGCTATTGTAAATAGTGCTGCAATGAACATAGGGGTGCATATGTTTTTTCAAATTAATGCCTTGGGTTTTTCTTTATAAATACCTAAGTGTGGGATTGCTGGGTCGTAAGGTAGTTCCATTTCCAGTGTTTTGAGATACCTCCATACTGATTTCCATAGTAGCTGCACCAGTCTACAGTCCCACCAATAGTGCACCAGGGTTCCCTTTTCCCCACAACCTCGCCAGCATTTGTGGTTTGTTGATTTATTGATGGTAGCCATTCTGACTGGAGTGAAGTGGTATCTCATTGTGGTTTTTATTTGCATCTCTCTAATGATTAGTGAGGTTGAGCATTTTTTCATATGCCTGTTGGCCATCTGTATGTCCTTTTTAGAGAAATGCCTCTTCATATCCTCTGCCCATTTTTAATTGGGTTGTTTGTTTTTTTGATGTTGAGTTGCATGAGTGTTTTATAAATTTTGGATATTAACCCCTTATCAGATATTTCGTTGACAAATACCTTCTCCCATTCAGTAGGCGTCCTTTTTGTTTTGTTGATTGTTTCCTTTGTTGTAAAAAAAAAACTTTTAAGTTTGATGTAGTCCCATACATTCATTTTTGTACTTCAGTGTACTTCAGTTATAATGTTTTGGTTTTGCTAGATACTTAAAACCGTTGACTTTGGAAACTGGAAGTGGTCTCAGAGCTTTTAGTTTACTCTTCTTTTGTAGCTGAAGAAACTGCGATTGAGAGATGTGAAGTGACTTACCCAAGGTTCCAATGGCCAGTTGGGGTCTCGCACCCTTCCAGAGTCTGTATCTCTAACTTCTGACTTCT